CATATAGCTATTGTGAAAATTAAGAACAAAGGAATGTATCTTTGGCTCCACCCTCACAAGTTGTACACCACTTACGATTCCATGTGGACTTACACTAGCATGGCCATGGAATCCATGCCCTCACACTCTTGCTGCAATGTTTAGTCCATTTCACACACACTGCCCGCGCCCCCTTACACTACTATCTCAAAGCTCCAAGGAATGCGATATGTGACCTAGCCACACCGCCCGCGCCCCCTTCATGTCCTCAGCATTAACCGCTCCATCGGTATTGATCGTGACTCAGCCCACTTCTGGTGGCCGCCAACACTGCCCAGCCAACTGAATCTTTCGTTTTGGTGGTATCTCCAAAATTGCCAATGTCTCGTGAACCAACTTCAGCGCTTTTACAGGGTCATAGCCATCACGGTCATGCATCCAACAATTGCGTGACGACCATATACTATGCATAATCGTGATGATCTTGCTTCTATCCCCCTCTGTGAAGAGTTGGTCAAGCAAAATATCACGAGCCCAAGTGTTTGGATGCAGCCGTGGTAGATGCAGATCAAATCTGTCTCGGGCTGCCAACCAAAACTTCTTTGCATGAGTGCAATGCACTAATGCATGTAGCATGTCCTCGTTCATGGCCTTGCATACTTCGCACGTAGCAAGTGGTTTGATATGGCGGTAATGCAAGTTAACTGAGTCTAGGAGTATTCCACAGAGTACTCGCCACCAGAAGACTTGAACCTTGGGTATGACATTGACTTTCCACAGGGCTGTCCACAACTGTTTATTTGCCGATGAAGCTTCAGTAATCGTCCCTTCCTCTAAAGAGCTGAGCTCATTGCGAGTCACAAGAGTACGATATGCTGATTTTACAGAGTAGATGCCAGATTTCTCCAAGGCCCAAGCCAAAGTATCTTCGCCGCCTGTCGGGTTTAGTGGTATATTCAGGATAGCCTCCACGTCCGGTTACATGAAATTTTGACGAGTCAGTTGCTCATTCCAGTTACCAGTGTAATCATTTATGAGCTCTGAGATAGTAGGAAGTGGCGTGGTTCCAATGCGCCCCTTGGGCTTTAGCGTCAGAGTGTTGGGTATCCAACTGTCCGTCCAGGTAGCTATGGATTGTCCGTCACCCACTCGGTGAATAAGACCAACATTTAGGGCATCCTGCCCCGCAATGATAGTCTTCCAGGTCGCTGAAGATCGAGCCGGGGCTGTGGCATTGAGGAAATCTATGTGAGGGATATATTTCCTCTTTAACACCCGAGCACATAAGGAGTCCGGTTTGGTAAGAAGGCGCCAGCCATGTTTTCCGAGCATCGCAAGATTGAATCGGTGTAGATCTCAGAAGCCCATGCCACCCTTTACCTTTGGTTTTGCAAGATTTTCCCACGAGAGCCAGTGAAGAGAGTGTTTATAGATTGACCTCCCCCACTATTACTTCGCCATGGGTGATGTAATACTCTTGCAAACCTTCTTTGTCAGGAGAAAATAACTCATAGTAAATGTAGGGATGGCCTGGATTACCGTTTTAGCAAAACTTCTCTTGCTGCACACGCCATATTTCTCTCTGACCATCCTTGCATTTTACCACGACACCTTTCCACTAAGTGTTCAAATGTCTCGCTAGTTATTCTACCAATAGTTGTCGGTAGCCGCAAATAGCGTTCTGAAAACACTTCCACATTGATCCCGAGAGACAACTTAAGCAGCTACCGTAGGGGCTGTGTTGTGTTGCCACTGAAGTAGATGGAACTCTTCTGCCGGTTCACTGCCAGCCCTGAGCAGTCAGCATAAATCCGGAGAACCTCGTTGAGCCTCTTTGTACATTGGGTGTTGACACTGAGAAAGATCAAACTACCATCAGCGAATAACAAATGATTGACCCAGGTGCATGAGAACTCACTCTGATGCCTCTGCCGATGTATGCGCCACCAAAATTATTTAGTAGTGATGTGAGGCCCTGTGCGCATAGCAAAAATAGATACGGCGACATGGGGCACCCCTGCCGAAGCCCCCTAAACGGACTGAAAAAAGGTAGCAGCTCTCCGTTCATCCTGATTGTGAACCATACCGAAGTCACACACTTCATGATCAGGCGAACAAAATTTTATTCGAAGCCCAACCTTGTTAACATGGCTTCGAGATAGTGTCATTCCACTCTATCGTAGACTTTGAGCATATCTAAATTGATTGCATAGCAAGCATTCTTGCCCTTC